TTACTATGTAAGTTAGCCAGCAGGGAGCGTGTTCTGGTCAATTTGACGTTGGTTTCTTTATGTCTGGCTCCTAAAGTGAATGATGTCTTCAGCAGTATGATCTAACCACGTAGTTCTGGTGGACAGCCAAGGGCAGTGGCAATGGCTGTGTTGTCTTGGAGCCTTTGGGGCCTTCCTGACTAATAACTCATGGAGAGGTAGCCCATGCTTGGCATTGAGATTTTCATTTCATAGCCCATATATTGTAGAAGCAGCACTGTCCACCCATGTAGGGTCCTTGTGTTCAAACTCCCTTAACAAATGCATATTAGGGCTTTTTCTTGGATCCTTACTTTTGGCTAACCCATCCCCTAAGCTCTCCTCTCCTCAATTCCCCTTTCTCTACTCAGGGATTTTTCCTGTCTCCTTTTACGACACTTGTGTTCTCTTACCTATGCTAATTGAAATTTTTTTCTTTAGTTATGAGATTGTAGGTTTCCATGTTTCCTTTTTCCATGCACCCTTCATTTTGGTTAAGCCCTCGGCCAGTGCCTCATTCCCTCATCCTCCCACCCCCCTCCACATGGACCTTTCCTTGAACCTCCCAGTGTCCCTCCTTTTTCCTTTCATTTTGTCTGTATTTTACTATCCCCTCTCCCTAGAAGCGTGCACTCATATTTAGTGGCCTGTTTCTGGTTTCCCGGCTTCCACCTGTAGTACTGTAGGTTAAACACACAGAACCAAAAGGTTCGAAGCTGGGATCTGCATGTGAGAGAACAGGCGATTGTTGTCTTTGGGGCTTAGGTGAGACCTCACTCAACACAATTAGGCTGTGCTATTTTCAGATATTGTCCTATTCTGTCTGTGTTGCTATAACTGAAAGACTCCGAGTAGGTCATTTATAAAGAGTTTAGGTTTGCTGTGCCCACAGTTCTGAAGGTTGGAAGTCCAAGGTTGGAGGGTAACTAGTGAAGGCCTCCTTGCTGGTGGAGACTGCAGAACCCCAAGGTGAGACAGTGTGGGTGGCTCCCTGGGATCTCTCTTTTTGTACAATGCCACTAATCCCATTATGGGGGCCCCATCCTCCCGACCTTGACCAATCCTAACTACCTTCAATATTATTCCCACATGGCTTTAAGGGTTAGCTTTCAGCATGGTTTGGGTGGGGATGAACACTCCAAAAGCAGGAGATATAGAAGATGACATTAGTGTTAGAAATGGCTCATCTTTGACTTAGTTAGATGGGGATGTGAACAGACTCCTTAAGAACAGAACTTTTCAAACGTAGCTCATAAAGTCCTAGGGTGTATATTAAGGCAGGCCTATTTTGGGGGTTTTTATTTTGGGGTATGGTACTGGAGGCTGAACCCAGATCTTCTGCATACTAAGCACTTACTCCACCTCTGAGCTACATCTATAACAAAGTCATAAGGGTTTCTCCAAAAAACATAATTAGACATGCATTAAAAACCAAATCAAGTCACACATGGCAAGATCTTCATAGCAACGGAATTGATTTCACTCACAAACTGTGTCATTACAAGAGAATCTTTGTCGTTTCATCTCATGTTGATGTAAGTTAATGTTTGCTTATTTTGACGAAGAAGGATAAAAATGGCCATCTTTTATTTCTCTCTAACTTTAAACTGCACCCATGAGAGTATCTGTGAGCATTTATAGAGTTCCTCTTGTATGCAAGTCTTTGTGAGCAACATTTCACAGAAAATGCCCCCAAGGAAGAAGCTTCTTGGTTCAGCCTGGGCCACAATTCTTTCTGTGATCCCATCCCTGAGACAAGTTTCCAGGTCACCCTGTCACAGCCAGTCCATGTTCAATGGATCAACCAGGCACAGACCAGTCCATACACATCTCATATTCTCTTAGACGGAGGGATGGAAAAGCAATTGGAACAATAACAACAACAACAACAACAAAAGGAGCAGACTTTCTTTGAGGGTGCGGGCATAGCAATACCTGAGCAGATAGAGAAGGGACATCAGAGACACAGGCAGTGTCCTGTGGCATTGGCCTCCTTCCCACCTGCCTGTGGCCTGGACTTGTGGCTACTTTTCATCTGTGTGTCCTCACGTTGCACTGAGTCCTGAAGAAACAGACCAGGCTTTTGAGCCAGACCAACCAAAAGCTGATTCTGGGCTCTGTCATTTTCCAGGTACACCATCTTGGGTAAGATGCTCAGCCCTTCTGAACCTCTAGCTTTCCCCATGTGTCAAAGGGAATAATAGACGTAGCTACCTTAAAGGTTTAAACTAGATAGTGCTTAGAAGGGACTCTGATAGTGTCAAGCAAATGGAAGATGTACATGAATGCTGTTGCTAAATACTGCTTGAAAGCAGGGCTTTTCTACTCAGCTTTGTCTGGGTGCCTGGTAGAGGCTGGTCTCTACTAGATATTCCATGCAGGTGTGAATGGATCCAAAGCTAGGGCAGAACTGGAGAGACAGCATAGACTCAAGCAAGGGCTTGGGGTGCTGTGAATCCACACGGGTCCTGGTGCTGGGGTGCCCTGCAGAGCCATGAGGCTGGGTCTCAGCAACCACACTCTTCAGAAGGTCCTACTGGGAGTGTCCAACCTTTTGACACTGCCACACGATGTGGTAATATACCAAGTTCAGGACTGAGAAACTACACAGTTGAGGTACAGAAAAAACAAATGCCAAAAGGAAATCCCTTAATGGGTTAACAAGTTTATGGTTCTGTGCTACGTTGGATTCATAGCTACCCTGGAGTGTATGCAGCCCATGGGCTGTGACGTGGATGCACGAGAGTAGGATGAATGCTGGCTGAAAGGTCCATTCTCATCCTAGATGTCCTGGCCCTGCAGCTGTCATCCTCGTGAGCACCTGGAGGTGCAGATGGCCACGCCTTTCTGAAATGACTTCTGGTTTCTGAATCATAAATGGAAACACCTCAATGGGCCAAGCCGAGGTCACGACCTGATGAACGGAGGCCCTGGGCCCCATGGACAGCCAGAAGGCATGAGACTACCATACTTGACACAGGGCCATTCAGTCTTTCCAGAGTAGCTGAACATTGGAGCTTATGAGGGAAATATCTTGATTGTTAAATGCCGGGAAAGTGTTCAGACTTTCTAGAAGCACCAAGTGGCCAAGCAAAATATGCCTGCAGGCCAAAGAAGCTGCTGCTTGGAGGCCTTGACTAAGACAGTATTTTGCTGAGAAATGATTTTAACTGCCAGGACATTTGGCAAAGCCTGGAAATGATTGTGGTGGTCACAACTTCAGGCTAAAGGTAGGGATTGTTCCTAGGAAGAGGCAGGCAGCCTGCTCATCATCCTGTCATCCATTCATAGGAATGTGTTCCAGACAAAGAGTTAGTTGTCCCTAAGGAAATTTAGCTGGGCTTAGCTTTTGAGGAGAAAGAGTCTGGGGACACCTGCTTCATGGTGGCTGGCCCTTGTGACTGCCTAGCTTCAGGTTCCTGTCAGTATGTCAGAAAGGCAAGACTGGGATGGTTGAGCCTTCTCTGGCCCAACTTTGTATGTGAAGGAACTGCCTTCCATCCAGTGTCCTTTGTAGGCATGAAAATAATGCAAAATATGTGGGCAATGAGGTCCAATATGTTGTCACTTGAGTCCCTAAGGTTTGGGTGTGGTGACCCATTGAAGATCGTCGTGGTTTTGGCCTCCTGTCCCTGGTGGAATGTTTGGTTTGGGCTCATTACTCAGTAGTATTTGGAACTGTAATTGGGAATATTTCCCTTCCCTAACCAGCTCTAGCTAAAAAAGAAAAAATAATAATAATAAAGATGCTTTGAGGGCTGCCTGCCAAGCATCAACTTTGTGGCTGCTCCGGGGAGGTGCCTAGGAGTTGATGAGCTGAGACTCAGCAGGTCCCATATGTTGGCCTGCAGTTCTCTTGAGGAAATACAAGAACATGCTTCCAGTCCCACCCCAACCCCACCGCATAGTCCATACTCTATGCACATGTTCCTCTTCCTGAGGTATGACCCTAAGCATCCTATTCTCCCACTCAAAAGCCTTCAGTGGGTCCCAGCTCCACTCTGAATGAAGCCAGAGCTTTATCAGCCTCCATGATATGACCCCAGCCTAGGCAAAAAGGGCAGCTTTAGAGCCCTGGGTCTGTAGTGAGGATGTCTTCTAGGAACGGGTGATGGAAGATGAGGCTGTGTGCATTAGGATGCCCTAGCTACAGTAGCAGGAGAACATAGGCTAACATGTCTTAAGCCACAGAAGTAGATGGAGACTAGAGAATGGCTCTGAGTTCGGGGATCATTCAGTGCTCAGACAGTTCCCGTTTTTGTGGTTGTTTTTTTTTTTTTTTTGGTTTTTCGAGACAGGGTTTCTCTGTGTAGCTTTGCCCCTTTCCTGGAACTCACAGAGATCCGCCTGGCTCTGCCTCCAGGGTGCTGGGATTAAAGGTGTGCGCCACCACCGCCCTCAGGTAGTAATGAAAGGAACCAGGCTGCTTTTACTCTGCCTTCCTAAGGCAGCATCCTCTTTCCGTCTTTATATGCCTGCTGGTCCCAACTGGGACTGTGTAGATAGAGTTTTGCTTGCACTTGGTAGAAGGGTTAAAATGTTCTCCTACATCATGCAAATCCTGCTTCTCTGTCTAGTTAAGACAGCCCAGGACTATATGAGCACCAAGAACAATCCACCATGTGGAGTTAGGATGAGGTTCCCTGGGAGAACTGGGCTGGAGGGACAAATGCAGACCGAACGAATGGTTCTACTGGGAAGTAGGGAGAGCAGAGGTGGGTGATGGGAGGGGACCCCAATTCCTGCTACATGGTATAAAGGAGTGAGCAGTTTAAAGTTAGGACATGATGATAGATTGGATTGAGGAGAAGGGATAATTAAAACTCGACGAGGTAACTCTAAAGTTTCATCTTGACAGCCTTGGAAGATGTTGTCTCCTACTTCAAAATCACGGGGTTGGGTGTATGTGTGTTACTTTTGGGCAACTTGAAGGGACAACCAGACCATTTCTGTGTGCTGACATTTGTTCTTTCATATTCCAGAGCAAAGAGATTGGCCTGCAGATGCACGAGGAGCTGCTGAAGGTGACCAATGAGCTCTACACAGTAAGTTCTGCCCAGGATCATTGCTGTTTGTTTGGGTCTCTTGTCTTTAGCACCCGTATCTGGAGGGAGGCAGGTCAGAATTTGGAGTGATAGATGGTCATCATGAAGGTATGTAATGACTCATGACCCCAAGTCCTGCTTACTTATGTTTGGAATGGGTCCTGGACGTGTTTAGTAAGTTAAAGTATGTGAGAGAGTAACGTGATCTTCCAGACGTAGGATGTGTTACTCATGAGCACAAAGGTCCTCAAGTGGAGGGTGGAAGAACACGGTGTGAAGGCTCCATAGCCAGAGGGCAGGGAGGTGGACTTGGGTGTCAGGTGACATAGGCCCCAGACAGGGTGCTCCTTAGCGACTGTGGTCTTAGACAGGCCCATAGCTTGCCTAGATCCCTTTGTCTTTGTCTGTAGAATGGAACCCTGCTCTGAGAATAACTTGAAGTGAAATAGTGAGCATGCCTGTTTCTTCTGGAGAACATCACAGTTTAGCCCATGGCTGACCTTGTTGCCTGCTTTGGAGCCAAGGCCTAACCCACTTGAGATGGGCATTAGAACTGAGGAAGGCAGTGGGGTGGAGAACACACTGCCTAGACTTTAGGGCAAGAACAGACTTTGGCTTCCTTGGTGAGGAGTGTGGAGAGCCCCATAGATAGCCTTGGGTACAGTAGGCCCAACAGGGAAAGTGCCAGGTAGAACTGTTATGTTTATGTATGCAGGGGCTCTTTATAAAAGTCCTAATTTAACATATGAATAAGTAAGGCTGCATGAAGCCCTTTCTCTTTGTTATTGCTATCTTTCTATATTTATACCCATGGTAGTAGCAATGGGTTCATCGGGGGCTAAGAGCCTAGGCTCAGGGCTTGTACTTCAGGTGGAAAGCCCAGTGTTGACCCCAGCAGCTCTAGGACCTAGGATAAGACTTTTATTTTTACTGATATCAAATAGTGAGAGTATGTTCCAACTTTGCTTCAATATAGATAGATAGATAGATAGATAGATAGATAGATAGATAGATAGACCTACCTTTAATCCCATCTACTTAGGAAGCTGAGGCAGGAGGATTATAAGTTAGAGGCCTGCCCAGGCTACAGAGTATGGGCAAAGCCTGGACACCTTATCTTATAATATATAATATATGTCCAATAATACATAAAATATAGTAATAGAAAAGTAAAGATAGGCCTGGGTGTGTAGCTCAGTAATAGAGCTCTTATCCAGCATGTTCAGGGCCCTAGATTCACCCCAATACCACAGAGAAAAGAGGTGAAGAGAAAGCAGACAGTCTGAAGTCAGAATCTGGGTCAAATCTGATTTTCAGCGGGAAAGAACAGTGGAATCCTCCCACAGTCTCTGGAGAAATTGGTTCTTGAAAGCCTCATGGATACAGGGATTCTGCAGATGCTCAGGTCTCTGTATAAAGTGGTATCATGTCACACATCCTCCCAGGTACTTTAAACCATCCCTAAATTGCTTACTACAGCCAATACAGCTTCAGTGCTATGCAGACAGTTGTTACGCTGTGTTGTTTAGTGATGAGAAAAAGTCTCTTCATGCTTAGTATAGATAAAACTTTCCTCCCTAAATATTTTCCAGCCTTCAGTTGGTTGACTCCATGGATGTGGAGAGCACAGGTATAGAGGGCCAACTGCACTGAGGGGGTCACACACACTAACACACACTGTTAGTATAAAAGAGTACATAGTGAGCTAGAGAGTCTGTGTGCCATTAGTCATGTCTGTCATTATTATATCACCCTCAATGGGTGTGATAGGCTGTTGTCTGTACTCACAGGGATGGGGTCAGTGATGAGTGTGTAAAGTTGGTGAATGAATGGATTGTCTAGCTTAGGATTCTGTAGAGGATTTCCTGACACTGGTCATTACCCAGGCTAGGCCTTTCCTATGCTCCTTCAGTCCCTCTAAGAATGGAACACTTTCTCCACAGCAGTCCTGCACCATAGCTCCAGGCACAGGACTTCACTGCTCCTGCCTGGGTCTCTAACTTTCCCTCTATCCTCCAGCAGGGAACCTCGTTTTGTCTGTTTTTGTTTGCTTTCTGTCACTGTGACAAAACAACTTGATCAAAAACAACTTGGGGAGAAAAGGGTTTATTTGGCTTATACTTCCAGGTCACAATCCATCATTGAGGGAAGTCAGGGCAGAAACTCAAGGTAGGAGCTTGAAGTGGAAACTGTAGAGAACCACTGTTTACTGCCATGTTCTCCAGATCGCTTGCTTGCTCATACTCAGCTTGCTTTCTTATACAGCCCAGGCCCACATGCCCAGGGAATGGTGCTGCCCACAGTGGGCTGGGACCTCCTACATCTATGATCAATCAAGACACTCTCACAATCAAACCCACATGCCAATCTGACCAAGGCAATTCTTCAGTTGAGATTCCCTCTTCCCAGGTGACTCTAGGTTATAGTCAGCTGACAATAAAAACTAACCAGGAGAACTGTTTATACTCTCCCCCAATATCTCCTCCTCTGCTTCTTCACTCTGCAGTTGCCTTTGCCTGTTGTGGTCTGCATGCTTTTATCCTTTATCCATCTGAATCAGACTCAGTTTTCCAACTAGGCCAAACTTTAACACCTTCAGAAAGATGCCACCTCTGGGCTTTTAGTCCTATTGTAGCCTTATAAAAACCTCGTGTTTTCATTGTCTGCACCTGTTCCCTTATGGTAGAGTGTCTTCTCGGAGTCATGTCTTGGCTGATGAGTGACACTGTTAAATCTCAAAGACTGTGTGGCATTGTCAACATGACATCTCCTCTCAGTTTTGTCTGTGAAAACCAGGGCTGATCATTTTCCTATGGTTTGTAGACTCAATAGTACCAGATGGTGTCAAAGTTTGAGAGGATAATGCCATCTTGTGTCCCTCATGGTACTGGTGCCCTGAACCCAGCAGGTTCTGTGTATATAGCTGCCCATTCTGTCCACAGGTTAGGGCAGCTGGACAGAAACACTATTGGCATTAGACATGCACGTAGGTGGCTGTTTCACCCCATGATAAGGCTCTTCCTGCCATGCTATGCTCACAGTGGCCTGCTGGGGGTCCTCCAGGAGCTGGTGGAGAGGAAGGGCCCAGTGCCTCCCAACTCTCTCTTCTTTGGGTGTGTGTGAAGGAGAGGGGGCCTCAGGTACCAACAATAAATACTCCATATTGCTAACTGTGGCCCTCTGTGTCCATAGGTCCTGCATCAATGAGTATTAAGTACCCCCCAAAAGCTCATATGCTAAAGGCTTCATGCACCGATGCAGCTTTATTTAAAGACAACATTGAGAGGTAGGGAAGGTGGGGCCTGATTGCAGGAAGCAGGTCACGGAGGACATGTCCTTAAAAGGTGTCTTGTCCCTGGCCCCTTCATGTCTCTCTGCTTCATGGTTGCTATGAGGTGAGCCACTTGGCTTTGACACACATTCTTGACTCGTTATACTCTGTGTCACCACAGGCTTACAGCAGAGGCATCAGCCGAGCATGGATGGAAATCTCTGAAGCCTCTTTTAATTTCTCTCAACTGTGGCCACAGTGACAAAAAGCTAACTAACATATATAGGTTCAACCAACCTTGGATCAAAAATATTTTTTTTAAATATGGTATATTACTAAACACATGCAGCTATCTTGTTATTTCCCAAGTACTACAACACAGTATAATGCCCATTTACACAGTGAAACATTGTGTTAGGTATTGTGAGGACTGTCAAGATGATCTGTGTTAGGGAGTGTGGGGTGTAGGTTCTTTATAATCACTGCACCGTTTTATATAAGGGATTTGAACATCCACAGAATTTGGTATCTGGATATGTGTGAAAGGGTGTTGTGAAACCATCACCATAGATACTGAGGGATGACCACGGTTACTTAGAAATGCAGTTTAATCCCTAAATTCCAGGCCTCCCACTGTGGCAGCAGGAAATCTTTGCTGTCCAAGAACTGGGAACAACAACAGAGAAGTTGGTCTCTGTCAGCATCTTTCCCATCCTTGATGTTCTCATGGTGCTGGTTAGAGCAGAGGAATGGGAAATGCTGTGTAGACAGTGAATGTCATGGATTTTGCCTCAAGGAGTGTTAGATTTGAGCGTACAGACAAGACTGAAGTGCATGGGCTCGTGACAGAACACGAGGCTGAGCGTGCTGCTTGCTCAACTGCTTCTTTAAAAAATTGCCTCCAAACTCGACGGCTTCAAACCTACCATGTTATTTGCTTGTGAGCCTCTGGGTTAGCAATTTGAGCTGGTTGTAGCTAGTTATGTGGTGGCAGTTTTCTGGATGACTAAGAAAAAGGAACCCAAAGTGAGTGGACTCCAATACACAAACTTCTGTTAGTAACCGCTTTTGCTAATACCCAAAGCAAGTTACAGTCAAGCCCCAGGTCATGAGATAGAAAAATACACTCCCTGTTTTCCTGTAGTCACAGTGCTAAAGTCATGCCTGAGCAATGTCTGTCTGTCACAGCCACCCAGCTTCTGGGAGCGTTGTGGACTTCCTGGACTTCACTGCTAGAAGTCCCTATTTAAAATCCCAGTTACACACATCTTCCCAGCTTCCTTTGTTTCCCAGCCCGAGTCTCACAGGCATAGTAACTAAGGAATGAATGAGGTAGAGAAGAACTATGCATTCAGCCCCATTCTTTCCCTTCTCAATGTTCCATGGAAGAAGTCTGCTGAGGGGCCCTGCTGAGGGTAATGATGATGGCGATCAATTCTATCTGTCTGTCAACCCCCTCTCTTCTCTGAACTCCCATCAGCCCTCCACATTATAGTCTTTGATCACATATTGACTTGGAAGAAAAGAAGAACACAGAGCGAGATTGTGGATCATGGTGCAATCCTTCCAAAGAAACAAAAACAAACCAAAACAACAAACTTCAGCTAACATTATGTTTAGGTTTTCATTATATTTCTAGGTCATGAGATACAACTGCTATTTTGGTAACTGATTGGTACCCTGGGCAGGCCACTTCAGCCCCTCCCTTGTGCTCAGTAGCTCTGCTCTG